AAAAAAAAAGCAAACAAAACGACAACAACAATAACAACAAAAGTTGGCCAGAGGAGCCTCAGCTTGTTCCACAGAAGCTGTGATGTAGGAAGGGGCCAGATTTCTTCATGTTGAGAATAATGTGAAAAGAAAGTATTTGCTTGAGTCTCTTGGCCTTTGAACTAGAAGTAGTTTTGGGATAAAGGTAGCAGTGGGGTTTGATTCAGCTTAAAAAATAGGCGTTTCTGAACTATTTGCCATAAATTAGATAAAATGGAAGTGTTTCTATTTTATCTCCTGTACTTTGTGGAAAGGTCTAATTTGGTTTTGTGGATGAATGTCTGAAATGTTTTCTGTTTCTTCAGACTCTATGCTTTGGGAACAGTGGGTCACGGAGAGGGTCTCAGTTGGGAATATACGGGTTAGAGAGAAAATAGAGGACTGCTGATTAGAAGAACAGGTGTTTAGTTTGATTTTTGTAGATATTTTCCACTGGTTATTTCTTTAACAACATTGAAGTGTGCCTTATAAGGTGCAAAATGTGATTTTACATAGCTTATAGTTGATCCCTTCCTTATTTCTCTCAGAAAATCTGTAGGATTGTGTCTATTAAATTGTTTTTTGTGTGTGGTTTAAACCAAGGGAGTATTTTAGATCTACATTTTTGGGTAAGTGGTTTTATTGGGGAAAAAAAGTGCTTGATGGAACTAATGGTGATTGTTTCACTTAAACTGGGATTATATAGACAATGCTTTTTCCTCCCTCTTTCTGCCAACATTTGTTTTTGTTTTTCCTTCAATTCCAGGGTTTTGTTTCTAGAAATCTGGGCTGGAAACAGAAGCAGCAGTTTGTATAATCCCAAGATCTTGCTTATGCCAGGAAGCTGTAAGGGTAACATGAAGTGGGTGTGATGTAAAGACACTGCTACTACTTCAGACATTTAACTGTTGAGGGAGTCTAAGGTCAAACTTTAATTTTTGTTGAATTTCCTGTTTTCTGTGTATGTGTTAATCTTTTGATGGGCAAAAGATTGGGTTGCTATGGTGCTAACTGGTGTATATTGTGAAAATGCTGGCGACATTTCATGCTTTTACTCTATAGGGAAGAGTGGTAAACAAGCCTAAATAATTTAAAGATGTTCTCTGCATGTCCTCTTGATCCTGCTAATCCAGTGAGCAGTCTTCACAAGGACTAAATGTTGAGTAAGTGATGAGGGTGGTACAGGGGTGCTGAAAGGTGGAGTGGCGGGGAGAGGGTATTGAGCATTTCTTGAAATTCTTTTCCCTATTGGACTGTATATCAGACTGATTTATAATTGTTTTTCAAGGACGTTTTTGTTCTCCCTGCTTGGTTGTCATCAATTTCATAGACCTTTGCTTAGATACTACCTCTGTTTCATACTTTAATTTGTCTTTTTTGCTGCATCTCCCAAGGACCCCACATTGTTTGAATGTTATGTTGCATATCTTATGGAGTTGGGTGGCCTTAAGCCATGCGGTTTAACATAGTTTTCATTTTAGGGCATGTATGGGAGGTCAGAACAAGCTCATAACACGGAGTAGAGTCTAAGTCATGGAGCATAGGGGAGCCCCGGGATTCTCATGATTGTTTTGGCAGTGGTTTTTGCCTTCTAAATATGATTATAACATTCTCCGAGGACCATCAGCTGCTTTCCTGACAGAGGTCCAAAAACATTTTAGAGGGTTCCATTTTGCATTACTTGCACATGCTGGATGCTGTGGTGGGCGTGGGATCAGGTGAAATCCATGTGTTTCAGGAGCTGGATGTCAGAACACTGTATCTGATCTGGGTTGCAGAACCAAATAGATTTCTCCCTATCTTATATAACTTTCCTATCCATTTGGGAAGACGAGACTGTAGGAAAGGACTTTTTAAAATTGCTTCTTTTCCAGATTAACCAGTAGTTTAGCTGTTGGTGACTGGCGACTAAGGACAGGCCTCTGTTCTAAACGTTGAAGGTGAGGTCTAGTCATTTAAAAGCTTCCCTTTTCTTTCTATTTTAGTTAGACATTGTGCCTTTCAACACTTCGTGTCAGAGGTCATAAAATGGCCTAGTGGCAACTAGATACCATTCTTGGTTGCTTAATTTCATAAGGAGATGTGGATTTTTTTTTGTAGCTTAGTTCTGGAAAATGGTTTGTGGACATAGTATTTGGATTAATGTAGAGTATAGAAATGATTGTTATATATATCTGCAGGATACATGGGTGAATAAGGGAAATTATTATTAAACACTGATATCAACATATAGTCCAATTCCGTAAGTTCAAGTAAAGTGAGTTGTATCCATACTTCTTCCCATAACCTCATCTGCAACACAGAATTTTCAAGGCTCCTTGGAGTGATAGGCTTTTAGAAAAGCTTAATATGGTTATCACATTTAAAAGATAAGTAGCTTATGCCAAAATAGAAGCTCTAGTCACTGGGGGAGTTTAGTCATTACCCTCATCTTAGATATATTTTGTTCTTTCCCCTCCCAGGGAGTATGTCTTACTGTGTCGAGGGCAGGGATGTTTGGTTTTACTGAATAGCACTGACCTGACCATTAGGCACAGGCAGGCCAGACTCATAAAAATAGGTGCAAGCACAGAAGCTAAACGCACCCGTTATCAGGACCGACTTCTAATTGCACTGGATTATCCAGTTTTTCCAGAGTGATGCTTCATTTTTACCCTTTCAGCTTATAATTGTGAGGCAATTTTAAAGCTTCTTTTAGAAATGGAGCTCTGACTTCAGACAGACAGAGGTGTCCTGGCTCTTCCAGATACTGAGTTGATGTAGCCTTGAGCTATTTAACCACACTAAACTTCAGTTTTTATGTTTAAAATTGAAGAACATACTTGTCCTCATATTGTAATCTTTAAATTCTCCTTTTTTAGTTGCTCTGGGAAAGGAATTCTCTCTGGTCATGCAGATGGTACCATTGTTAGGTATTTCTTTGATGATGAAGGCTCTGGAGAGTCACAGGTATGAATAAAGAATGATGTGGGAGGCTGACGTTGGAAAGTCCCTTGAGTCCAGGAGTTTGAGACCAGTCTGGGCAACACGGTGAAACCCTGTCTCTATCAGAAAGAAAGAAAGAAAAAAAAATACACACGCGTGCGCGCACACACACACACACATATAAACTAGTTAAGTGTGGTGGTGTGGTCCTATAGTCCCAGCTACTTAGGAAGCTGAAGTCGAAGGATCACTTGAGTCCAGGAGGTTGAGGCTGCAGTGAGCTGAAATAGCGCCACTGCACTGCTGCCTGGGTGACAGAACATGACCCTGTCTCCAAAAAAGGATACTGTGGGATAGGGGATAAGGAAATTCCAGGAACCCTCCTAGAGGAGGTTGGACTTCTAAGGCATTTGGATTGAGGTACAGGGAGGAGGTTAGAGGAATGAGGCCTCAGGGACAGATGAAAAGTTGGATGTGGCCACCAAGAGGATTTGTGTTTAGGAGCCTGGAGCTTACCGCTTATAAGAAGTGATGACTCAGGTGCAAAGGACCTTGAGACAAAGGGAAATAAAAACTCTTAGGGGAATGAGAAGTGAAAATTATTCCTATTTACCTAAAATATATATAATATATATTTATTTATGTGAATTTATAGAAAAAAGAGTTAACAGTTACTCTGGAGAGGGGAAAGGAAAAAGATGGGGGATAAAAAGGAAATTTTCATGTTTTACTCCATATAATTCTGTATTGTTTGAATTATTTATAGTAAGAATTACTTGTAGGCCAGGCACGGTGGCACACGCCTGTAATCCCAGCACTATGGGAGGCCAAGGCAGCTTGATCACCTGAGGTCAAGAGTTCGAGACCAGCCTGACTAACAAAGGTGAAACCCCATCTCTACTAAATACAAAAAATTAGCTGGTGTTGTGGCACATGCCTGTAATCCCAGCTATTTGGGAGGCTGAGGCAGGAGAATCACTTCAACCCAGGAGGCAGAGGTTGCAGTGAGCCAATATCATGCCATTGCACTCTAGCCTGGGCAACAACAGCAAAACTCCATATCAAAAAATAAAATAAAATAAAATAACAATTTCTTGTATAGGCCGGACATGGTGGCTCACTCCTGTAACCCCAGCACATTGGGAGGCTGAGGCAGGTGGATCACCTGAGGTCAGGAGTTCGAGACTAGCCTGGCCAACATGGTAAAACCCCGTATCTACTAAAAATACAAAAATTAGCCAGGCGTGGTGGCATGCACCTGGAATCCCAGCTAACCTGGAGGCTGAGGCAGGAGAATCACTTGAACCCGGCAGGCAGAAGTTGCTATGAGCTGAGATTGTGCCATTGTACTCCAACCTGGGCAACAGAGTGAGACTATATGTCAAAGGAAAAAAAAAAACAAAACAAGACTTGTACAATAATTAAATTTAACCCTCTTTAAAAAAAGAAGCCCTATGCTCTTTGTGGGCCTAGACAGTGTTGGTTAACGTGTAGGACATCTTTTCAGAGGAGCTTTACCAGGTGTGTATTAAAAATTTCCAATACACAAGCATTTTGAGGTTTTCTAGAGAACAAGGTCAACAAGCATCTGTGTAGGGGTGTGTGTGTGTGTGTGTGTGTGTGTGTGGTGGTTTGTGAAGAGTTCAGGGTTAGGATGTGTTGGGATGGGAAAATGGAAGAAAGACTTCTGGAGGGTAGGATGGTCAGAGTGAATGTATCAGGTGTTGAGAGTGAGAAATTATTTCTGGGGTGGAGTCTTCAGAGACTGATTGAAACCCTCTCCTTCTGTCTGTCTTAGGGGAAGTTGGTTAACCACCCCTGTCCACCCTATGCCTTGGCATGGGCAACCAATAGCATCATGGCTGCAGGCTGTGATAGGAGGATTATAGCCTATGGAAAAGAAGGCCACGTGCTGCAAACTTTTGATTATAGCCGTGACTCTCAGGAGCAGGAGTTCACCGCAGCTGTAGCAAGTCCTGGGGGCCAGTCCATTGTGCTAGGAAGCTATGACAGGTGAGTCCCCTTTCCAGTTTTATCTTTGGCCTACTTTCCCTGTGAACACTCCCTGCTTTATGCTTTAGCCAAATTATTCTAAGCCAGAGTGGGAAACTGGACCAAAATCGAGTGTCCGTTCAAAGAGATTCTCAGATTGTAATTCATGTGCTTTCCTCTTCCTGCTCCCACCATCGATTGGTGTGCAGCCAGTTCCAGATGTCCTGTGCTCTTGTTTTGTCTCTGTGCCTCTCCCTGAGCTTCCACAGCAGAATTCATCTCTATTTTCTGTTTCCATTGCCCACTTTTAGACTGCTTAGAGTTTCTCACGTCGTATTACAGTTTGTTGTTTGCATCTAACTGGTTAAATCAAAGAGTCCTTGAGAAGGGGGCTTGTTATTCATCCTTTTATCTCCAGTGCCTAGACTAGCATCTGTATGCTATATATATTCAAGATATGCTCAGATGTTTGGCAAATGAGTGAATGAATGATGGAGCAGCAGATAAACAGCCATGTCCCAGGTCTCATCACTTCTCTGGCATGTGTTTAACCCCAGCTTTTTCAGCCCTGTCTTTCTATCCCCTTCAATCTTACATCTCCTTGTGTTCTGTTCTTTCTTCACTGCCTCCTACCATTTATCTCCTTGTTGTGTATTATTTTCTCCTAACAGCTCATTTTTCTCACCTGCCCTGATCTTTTTGTTTTCTCTGCTCCCCTCACTCTTATTCTGTTTTAGTTTTGCCTTGATTTTCCCAGCTTACTTCCTGTGCACCTTTGTGTCCTCTCCTGCTAGACTGCCTAGCTTGTGTGTTCTTTTTATTTCCTTTCTTTTCTGATATAGCAAGACTAATTTCCTTTGGTTATCAGCTCATTTGCACTCTTTAGTTCAGTGTTAATCTCTTCTAGAAGCCACATACTTTATTTCAGGCTTCGGGTGTTCAACTGGAGCCCTCAAAGAAGCATCTGGGAAGAGGCAAAGCCCAAGGAGATTGCCAATTTATACACCATCACTGCCTTGGCCTGGAAGCGGGATGGCTCACGGCTCTGTGTGGTGTGTTACTAGTAATCCCTTTCTGGATTGGTGACTTTCACCAAACCAGAAAAAAATCCTGCCTTATCCTAAACGCTCTCCCCTGACACTAGAGAATCTCCTCTTCCCTTTTGACCCTAACCTAACATTCTGGTGTTAGAGGCAGGAAGGAGAAATTCAAACTTTATTGGAGGTCACAAAAGGGACAAAGAATTGTGTGTAGGCAGGGCTATTTTCTCCCTTTTATCCCATTAATATGTGGTGCCCTTGAGTCCAGTGATTGTAGCGTATTTCCTTTTGGTACTTCCAAAAACTGCCAGCTCTTTTACTGCCAACGATTCTCCAGACTCTAGAGCCTAGGTGTTGAGGATGTCTGTGGATACTCTCCCCATGCCAGTGTACTATGTGTGTGACCTTTTATGCTGTCACTTTCCCTTCTGGGGCACACTGTGTGGTGGGGTGGAACAGTTTGACTGCTGCCTCTGAAGAAGCATTTACAAGAACAAGTTTGAGCTGACGTATGTGGGACCTAGCCAGGTAAGCAGGATGGTAGCCTACTGCACTGAGACCTCGCATGGCTCATTCATCCTGATACATATCTAACATTTCCCTGCCTTCTGGCCACAGCCATAGTGTCAAATTTAATCTTCATCCCTCTGGAAGAGCTGTTTTGGGCAACAGAATATGTCAGGGCAACACCCTGGTATCTTTCCTGCTGTGGTTCCTGCAGCTTATTATAAGAAAAGTTTTAAGCACCAGGCTTAAGGTGTGCAGAGATTGCCAGTTATGCCTTCCTGGTTTAAAACTTTACTGCCTACACACTGTCAACAGGGCGATTTGATAAACAGGATTATAAATGTGAACTCTGTTGTTTTAAGGCCTCTGAGCTTACTTATTTGATGTTGCAAGCTAATTTCTTAGTTCCTGAGCCCATTTTTCTCTTTTTTCTACCTCTGTCCTTTTTCATTTATTATACATTGGTTTCTTCATTCTTTTGTTCTTTCAAGAAACATGTATATATTCTCCACTATGTGTAACCAGTGTTAGGCATTGGGATTACACAGATAATTATCTGTAAGACATTGTCCCTTGGATCAAGGAGATCATTATAACAGAGGACACAGACATATCAAAAAATAATATTAGCCAAATGCAGTGGCACATGCCTGTAGTCTCAGCTACTCAGGAGGTGGAGGCAGGAGGATTGCTTGAACCCAGGAGTTCAAGGCCAGCCTAAGCAACATAGTGAGACCCTGTCAGTCAGTCAATCAGTTGATCAGTATGTACACTGTGATCACTGATATATAAGGTTTGTACCAAGACTGAAAACATAGAGTGATTGGTTTTACCCAGTGGAACTTTCAGAATTATGTAAATTTTAAGCATCAAAATAGATAATATAGGAAAGCATTTCATAAATAGTAAATCCCCATATAAACCTAAGGTACCATTACTATCAGCAATATCCAAGGCCCAAGGAGGAAGAAGATATTAGCTTTGTTTAGACTGTGGAAGTGGGCAAAGGATATGGTTATACACCCTTCTTTTGGGCTGGGGAGGCCTAAGGGGCTCAGACTTGTCCTTTACCAAGGTGATTGTGAAGAACCTGTCATCGGGAACCCAAGTGCTGCTCAAGTCCCACTATAGCTATGAGGTGGAAGAGGTGAAAATCCTGGGAAAGGAGCATTACTTGGTGGCCCACACATCAGACACACTGCTGCTGGGGGACCTGAACACTAATCGCCTTAGTGAGGTAGGAACTAAAATTGAGAGTAGGGTGGGGAATGGGGCATCTTGGCTTAATACTTGTGGGGACCCAAAATCCCTAGGGGTAAGATCTCCATGAGAAGGTTCAACATTCTGGTGTAGGGGACCTTGTTTCAGGGAAGGAGACCCAGGAGGTTTACATTTCCACAGTATGAATCACCATCTTTGGACTGTTTTGATGCCATCTCTCAGAAACATCTCCTGGTTCCTCTCAGGGACGAGAGCAAATTCTGATACAGCACCTCTTTTGTGTAGTATGATCTTTCTGCTTCCCAACCTGTCATTCTTTTGGCGCTGTCCTGGGTAATTATTCACATTGCTTCTTAAGCCTTCTGCTTTACAGATAGCCTGGCAGGGATCTGGTGGCAATGAGAAGTATTTCTTTGCAAATGAGAATGTGAGTAGAGCTTGATTCACCATCACCATCTCCATAAGCCTCCTTCTAGCTTCTGTGTCATAAAGATGGCAAGTTGCAAGGGGTAGGGAAACAGCAGATCTCCCAAGCTGATTTCTCGTAGTATTCAGCCCCATGATTCCTAGCTTTACAGCCATCCCTAGTTTCCTTTACCCTGCCCACCCCACCTCTACTCTCCGGTCAGACCATTTCAGAATTGTTAAACCTCAAACCTTTAAGCTCCATGAAGCGTTTTACATTCCCAAGTCTTTTATTTTCTACATCCTTCTGGCTTTCCAATCTCAGCCCTCACAGACAGAACGGCAGCACCTACAGAAAAACCAGAACCTCCTTTTTCCCCATAGGGCAGAGAAGGGACAGACTTTTATCAGGTCTGAGCACGTTTAGCCGTGCTGGAAAAGAACCACAAACTGGCTGAAATGATCTTTTTGGAACAGGTAACAGGAAAAGAGGGACAGGATGCAGAGAAGATATGAAGGAAAAAGACGGAAAAGGGGGAGCAAACTCAAGGGAGGAAAGTGTGCTGGTGAGCGAGGCTTCCAAAGGTTTGGGGAAAGCTTTCAGAGAGATTTACATAGTTAATTTCACCCCTTCCTTTATTTCCTCCTCTTGTGTTAGTCCTTACTTTTCTAGACAAACTTCCTTCTTGGGCCTTTGATTACTTCTTTCTTTCATAAGCAGTCTGCTTCCTCCCCTCCAGTCCGGAGCCTGTCTTTGCAATTCTTGTGCATAGGGGTCGATCCACGTTTTGTTTGTGGCTGGAAACTTACACAATTTGAGGAGCTCTTTTTAAGAACAGTTGCCTTAGGCTGGGCGTGGTGGTTCACGCCAGTAATCCCAGCACGTTGGGAGTCTGAGGCAGGTGGATCACATGAGGGCAGGAATTCAAGACCAGCCTGGCGAACAGGGTGAAACCCCGTCTCTACTAAAAAAAAAAAAAATATATATATATATATATATATATATATATATATATATATATATATATATATATATATACGTATATACGTATATATATATATATTAGCCAGCTTTGGTGGCATACGCCTGTATGTAATCCCAGCTGCTTGGGAGGCTGAGGCGGGAGAATCGCTTGAGCCTAGGAAGCAGAGGTTGCAGTGAGCCGAGATCGCACCACTGCCTTCCAACCTGGGCGACAGAGCAAGACTACATCTCAAAAACAAAGAACAGTTGCTTTGGAAAGGGCTTGTGCAAATAAGGAGCCCTGAAGCTTAAGCATTTTTTAGTTTCCCAATATTTTTGCTGGTATAGTAGTTAAAAGGTAAGGTTTTTGGTCCCCATATGCTGGCATCTTAGCCAGACTGAGGAGAACTTGCTGCTTTCTGATCCTCATATCCTTCTGTCATCCCCTCTGCTCTGCCTGTTTCCCCTAGAATGCTGTGGAGGAGGCCAGGGCATGTAGCAGCAGCTATACCATTGGGATGAGTGTATCATTGTGGCTCAAGCCAAGGTACCTATTTTGTCTTCTCCACAGTTGTTCAGAATTTGGTTCTGCCAATTTCAAAACCTTCTTTTGTCTAGGAGGCCATAGAAACCAGAACAGGGTTGGGCTTGGACTAGATGTGGTGAGGAGTTAGGATACTGCTGACTCAGGAGGATTTCCCTTGTTACAGAGGGATTGGAGAAGCGTGGGAGGCACAAGGGTAGGAAGGGCTGTGACTCCTAGTTCTCTGTGCGTGTCCAGGGGTACCCAGCTGTAGAGAATCTATGCTGGAGTTATTACCAGTGGCTGATGGACACACAGCAGGAGGATTGAGCAGGTGAACTACAGGAGAGCCAAGGGGATGGGCTAGCAGCCTTCAGCCTCTACCTCAAAGCTGGGCTCCCTTCCAAAGCTGCTCGGCTGGTGCTATTCCGAGAGGAACTGCTAGCCAACACAGAGCTGGTAGAACACATCACTGCAGTCCTTATCAAGGGGGAACTCTACGAAAGGGTATGCTCACTTCCTCTTCCTAGCCCTTATCTCCAGAGCTCAGGACCCTTCTCTCTTCCAGAGGAGTCTCGGGGCACAGAGCACTTCCTGACTGCTGGTGTTCCCTTGTGTTTGGAGCTAATACTTGATTCTTTGTGTTGTAGGGGTACCATAGTAATGGGGTATGTATTAACAGGCAGGTGATCTCTTTGAGAAGATTCACAATCCACAGCAGGCCCTGGAGTGCTACCGTAAAGGGAACATATTCATGAAAGTTACTAGCCCCCATAAGCCATCCTTTACTGTTATGGACCCTTGCCCATCCGTCTCCCCAGCACCTCTTGGTGCGTGTGTTCAGGTTGCTTGGCTCCAGTTCTCCATTCTTCCCCTTCTCACTCCATGCTTCATCTCCCTGTCCTACCATTTTCCTGAGGTCCATCCATGGAAGTCTGGGCTGAGCACCTTTTCTCTCCCTGGCAGTAGAGCTGGCTCGATTGGCCTTCCCAGGGGAGGTGGTGAAACTAGAGGAGGCATGGGGGGACCACCTGGTGCAGCAGAAGCAGCTTGATGCAGCCATTAATCACTACATCGAAACCAGGTGTGGGAGTATGGGAATGTAAAGGACATTTGGGTGTGAAGTGAGGGGCAGTGGAGCCAGTAAGGACACCAAGGCCGAAAAGAAGAGATCTCAAAATGTAGGGGGAAGTGTGCTTAAGGGGTCACTTTACCTCCATTCATCTTCATCTTTCAGCATACATATTTATATCTTTCCTAACTTTGCCAGGTGCTCCATTAAGGCAATTGAGGCTGCCCTGGGTGCCCGCCAGTGGAAGAAGGCAATTTATATATTAGATCTACAGGACCGGAACACCGCGTCCAAATACTGTCCTCTCGTGGCCCAACACTATGCATCTCTGCAGGAGTATGAGGTGAGGGAGAGTCCTTTCCGCAGCATGATGTGGTGCAGTAGAGGATAACAGTGAGAGAACCTGAAATAGGAAGTGGAGGCCAGTTCACCTGATCCTTCTTTCTGGGCTGCAAACAGCATCACCACCTTGAATGAGAAAAGAACAGTTTACTTTCCCAGTTTCATTCCAGCGTGACACAGATACTTCCCTTCACCCCGGATATATAAAGTGAGTCTCTAGCTCTGTTCCAGCCAGCATGAGTAATTCTCGATGAATAACTCTAACATAGTTACAATATAAAATTGCTTTGCATTGCAGAAACGTGAGGCCCTTTTGAATTCCACTGTATTGTCCTCGTGCTGTTTGGGTCTGGCCTTTCTTTTTAAATGGTAGAGCGTATGAGACACCCATAGTCATCTTTTCTTGTCTATTACTATAAGGTCATATCACAGGCTCTCCACCATCCCAGCTGAGGTTGTTCTTTCCTTGTTGAAGCTACTTTAAGCCTGCTGCTCTGACCTTTTGTGTCTACCTCTCATCAACTACAGATTGCTGAGGAGCTCTATACTAAGGGAGACCGGACAAAAGACGCTATAGATGTGAACACCCAGGCTAGCCGTTGGGAACAAGCCCACAGGGTAGAGATGGGTGGAGTTCATGATAAGAGAACTGCCTTAGTGGCAGTGTGGCCTCGTTCCTGGGTCTGTTTCTCCTCTTTGCTTGGCTCCCTGAAAGCTGACAGAGAGAACCAAAAATACAGTATGAGCCACTTTGATGTATAACTGAAAAATATTTCCAGAAGCAGAGGCAAGAATGAAGAAATGTGGTAAAGGAAGATCCTTGGAAGGACATGATAGAGTGGCAAGAATAAATTAACTGCTCCTATTCCCTAGGGCTCAGAACAGTGTTTAATTTTTGGCCGTTCTAAGAAGGGTGGAGAGGGAACAGATTGTAAAGCTAGCACTGCAGACTGCAAAGCCAGTCACTTGCTTCTGGGTAGTGGAAGTGTGATTCTGTCAAATGCAAAGTGAACTTTTCTTTTTTTTGGAAGCACTAGAGCTCATGAGGTATTTTATTTGTAAATATGTATTACATCTCTAGAAAAAGAATCCCAGGATTTTCCCTCCGATATGCTGTTGTCTTGCTTCTTCATGGTTCATGATGCCAGCTGAGGTTGTCAGTACAATAAAACCAAACCAGCTGCCGGGCGTGGTGGCTCACACCTGTAATCCCAGCACTTTGGGAGGCTGAGGTGAGTGGATCACGAGGTCCAGAGTTCGAGACCAGCTTGGCCAGTATGGTGAAACCCCGTCTCTACTAAAAATACAAAAATTAGGCAGGCATGGTGGCAGGCGCCTGTAGTCCCAGCTACTTGGGAGGCTGAGGCATGAGAATCGCTTGAACCTGGGAGATGGAGGTTGCAATAAGCCAAGATCCTGCCATTGCACTCCAGCCTGGGCAACTGAGTGAGACTCCATCTCAACAACAAAAAAACCAAATTGGCAGGATGGGAGCAGATTATTCTGCCATTTTTCTAGATCTCTGAGTTGCATGTCAAATCTGGGGCTAATCACTCCACACTTGTTTAGCTTGCCTGTGAGGTTCACAACAATTTTCTTAGCTCTGTGATCATCAGTGATTTCAAATCTGCCCAATGTAACCATATTTCATCATCACACTTAGAAACCGGACGATGACTTTGGGGCATAGCCTAATAAGAACTTGGTGTTTGCCTCTCTT